ACTAAATATTTTTGTTTATTTATTTATTATTTTAGTTACAACAACTATCTAAAATCAAAAATTTCTTAGAATACTTCCTAAAGGATTAATGTTAAAATAGTCTGATAATATTGACAAAATTAAGATTAGCATGGCTATGTAATCCAAATTATACTTTTTATTCTTTTTATATCATGTAAAACTAAGAGAATGAAATGATTTACAGAATATATTTTATATATTTAGTCTTTGCTAATGAAAGTCCTGGTATGTGGCAGTCTGCAAGAGTAGTCTGCCACACTTAGATTTACCCAGTTTCAATGTAAATAATTATAATTTGCCTCAAATCTGATTTATAGTCATTGCACTTCTTCCTCACACAGACATACTTTTTGAAGATGTGCCATGCCTTGGTTAACTTGTAATATATTTATGTACAAAACTTACTCTATAATATTTGCACATGTAAGGAGCTTTGTTCCTATTTGATTAATCTTTTTTCTTACTTAATATACTAATTATAGATGGGTTTAGGTTTGTGGTTGAGCACAAGCTTTGCAGTTGCAAGTGCCTGGGTTTGTACCTTGCCAAGACTGCCAGTTGAGTGAGTTTTGAGTGAGTCCTGGCATCGGGTAGGGTTGAGATTATGCACTGGTCATCCTATTGCACCGTTTTGCAACTAGATAGGCCCCCCCCCTGGCCTTGCCCCCAAATATCCACTAGGTTATGCAAATAGATTTTATACTAATCAAATGCACTAATTACAGCAAGGAAGCCTAATATTATTTAGAATTTCTCTGCATAACTGTGTCAGTCTGTTATCATGTGTTTAGAGACAATTATTACTAGGAAAATGCATGTTTTAGGGTATTTTGATCATTAGATGAATGAAGGATTAATAGTTTTATGTTATGATTAGTAGGAGGAAAGACATTGTAGAAATACGGCTATCAAGAAAGTAAAAGTGGTTAAGTAAGTAAAAATGATAGTAATTGAAACCCAACTCTCAAACACCAACATTGCTGAAAGAAGTGGTTTAAAAGAGCCTTTTGACTGCTCTGGTTGAAGGAGATTGTATGTAAAAAAGAAGTAGAAGAAGTTGAAGAGAGACAGAGACAGAGATAGAGAGACAGAGACAGAGAGAAAATTTAAAAAAGAGGATAAGGAAATAGTAACTGTATCAGTTTCATACTATACCAGATACAGATATTTACACTTTCATTTCCATTTCCACAGAGAAGTCCACCAACCCCCTAAACTGTGAGGATGACCCAAATTCGATTCAGGCTGTGTGCCAGGCAGTGTCGTCCGAGGCGGGGGGGGTGCAGACGGCCGTGCGACTCATTGCCCACAAGATCCAGTCGCCCCAAGAGCGCGAATCACTTCAGGCTCTTGCGGTAAGGGAAGGGGTGCTGATACATTGGTAATCTATTATCAAAATATTTCTATAACTAATGAATTTATCATCCTGAAGAGATTGGTTTGCGTGTAGTCATATGCTGTGTCTGTTTGTGTGTACTTTTTATCATGTTGATCATTTATATATATATTTGTGTGTGTGTGTGTGTGTGTGTGTGTGTGTGTGTGTGTGTGTGTGTGTGTGTGTGTGTGTGTGTGTGTGTACATATATATATATAAAATGTCTTCTATCAAAACAGCCATAAGGTCTCCCAACTCCTCCTCCTCCTCCTCCTCCATCTCAACCTCCTCCTCCTCTTCTTCTTCCTCCTTCCCAACCTCCTCCTCCTCCTCCTCATTGTCATCCTCCACCTCATCTTGTTATTTTTTCCTGCTTCTCTTTTTTTGTTGCTCCTCTTCCTTCTTCTCCTCCTGCTTCCTTTCAGTTTAAACTAAGGATATATATATATATATATATATATATATATATATATATATATATATATATATATATATATATATATATATATATATATATATATATATGTATATATATGTATATATTTATATTTTGGTAATACGACCAAGATAACAAGTCCCTTCCATATCTTAGGTTCTGCAAGCTTGTGTCAACAACTGTGGACCAAGTTTTCATGCAGAGATCGGCAAGTTCCGCTTCCTGAACGAGATGATTAAGCTCGTTTCCCCAAAATACCTGGGTAATCACACGCATGCTTCTGTCAAGGCGAAGGTAGTAGAGCTCCTGTTCACCTGGACCATTGACCTCAAGTCTGAGCCCAAGATCCTCGAGGCGTATAACATGCTGAAGAAGCAAGGTGTCGTTAAGGTGAGGGAAGGGGGACGTGACCTGGTGATGAGGGAGGCGGAAAGTTTTATATTTTATGCTTAGTCTTCTGATAAAATTCTCCTTTGCTCTTTTATATCTGTACATAATTGCACATGCACATACACAGGTACATGTGATTTGCCACAAGAAGACCATTAGGTATTCCGCAAGAGAAAGGAAAAGAAAAGTAAAAAAAAAAATAATAATAATAAAACATACAATAAAAAAAAACACATTTCCTTAATTTTCTTCTCCCTAGAAACCATCCCTCACCCCACTCTTCTTCCCACAGGAGGACCCCCCGTACATGGGTGCCCCAACAGCCCCCGAACCTCGCCCACGCACAAATGCCGTCTTCGAGGACGAGGAGAAGTCCCGGCTCCTGCACCGCCTGCTGCAGAGTAAGAACCCGGAGGACTTGCATAAGGCCAACGCACTCATCAAGTCCATGGTGAAGGAGGACGAGAGGAGGATGGAGAGGACGAGCAGGAGGGTGGTCGAGGTAAAGTCTTGTTCGTCTTTTTCTCTTTGCTTCATTTTTCTTTTTTTTTTGCTTCATTTTTCTTTCTTTTCTTTTTTCTATTATGATTTTCATTATTAGTATTAGGCTATTATCACTGTTGGTTGAAATATTATTGCTATTGTTATTTTTTATCGTTGTTATTATGATTATTTTTGTGATTATTATTGATGTTGTTATTGTTGGGATTATTTTTTAGATTAGTATGTTATTATTATTATTATTATTATTATTATTATTATTATTATTAATTATTTACTATTATTTATTATTATTTTTATTATTATTATAATTTTTTTTATTATTATTATTAAATTTTTTTTTATTATTATTATAATTTTTTTTATTATTATTATTATTATCATTTTTTTTATTATTATTATTATTGTCATTGTTTATTTTTATTTATTTATTTTTTTATTATTATTATTATTAGTAGTAGTAGTAGCAGTATTATTATCATTATTTGTTTTTATGATTATTATTATTATTATTATTATTATTATTATATATATAGTTATTATTATTATTAGTAGTAGTAGTAGTAGTTGTAGTTGTAATAATAATATTATTATTATTATTGTTATCATTATCATCATCATCATTGTAATCGTTATTGTTATGTTTTTTATATTATTGATTATTTTAATTATTATCATTGTTACTGCCATTCATGCTTCTTATGATTTACCATTGAGCTTCTTTAAAAGTATGACATATAACACTGTAGTTGTATTCATTCCCTCTCTCATCTTGTTTAAGTAATTTCGCTCTTACCCCCTCCCCCTGCCATCTGTTGCAGGTGGAAACCGCCCTGAACAATGTACGGGTGCTGGACGAGATGCTATCACGGCACCAGGAAAGCCCAGCCACACAGGCCGACCTTGACCTTATGCAAGAACTCCACTCGTCATGCTCAACACTCAGGTCCAACATCTACCGGCTGGTTTCCGAGATGGACGACAAGGAGGAGGGGATCGGTGAGTGGCGTGGCGTGGCATGGGTGACGTGTGGCTGGGCAGTTTTTGTTTTGCGTTTTTGGGGTGGGGAGTGCACCCTGCCCTTGTTATTGTTCTTGTGCTCTTTCTTTTCTCTTTGAGCTTGCTGTTTTTTTTTTTTTTTTTTTTTTTTTTTTCTTTTTTTTTCCCCTTTCCCTTTCTCTTTCTCTTTCTCTTCCTCTTTCTCTTCCTCTTCCTCTTCCTCTTCCTCTTCCCCCTCCTCCCCCTCCTCCCTCTCCTCCCTCTCCTTCCCTCCCTCTCCCTCCCTCTCCCTCCCTCTCCCTCCCTCTCCCTCCCTCTCCCTCCCTCTCCCTCCCTCTCCCTCCCTCTCCCTCCCTCCCTCCCTCCCTCCCTCCCTCCCTCTCTCTCTCTCTCTCTCTCTCTCTCTCTCTCTCTCTCTCTCTCTCTCTCTCTCTCTCTCTCTCTCTCTCTCTCTCTCTTCCTCCCTCCCTCTCTCTCTCTCTCTCTCTCTCTCTCTCTCTCTCTCTCTCTCTCTCTCTCTCTCTCTCTCTCTCTCTCTCTCTCCCTCTCTCTCTCTCTTTCTCTTTCTCTTTCTCTTTCTCTCTCTTTCTCTTTCACTCTCTTTCTCTTTCTCTCTCTTCCTCTTCCTCTTCCCCCTCCATCTCACCATCTCTCAGCCCTCACCCTCTCCCTCTCCATCTCTTTCTCTCTTTCTTTCTATCTATCTATCTATCTATCTATCTATCTATCTATCCCTCTCTCCCTTCCTCCCCCCTCTCTCTTCCCTATCCTTCTTTTTCATTCTGTCCCTCATCCCTTTTCTCTCTCTTTTTTTTCTTCTCTCAACCTCAATTTGAGATTAAGATAAATTTTACCCACTGGAAGCTACCAATTTCTATTCTAATGTTTAAACTGCTTTTTGCAGGCGATCTTCTGAAAGCAAACGATGAGCTGTCACGGGTGATGGGCAGATATAAGTTGGTAGTCGAAGGCACGAAGATGGAAACCGCAGCCCCCCCTATGCCTGGTGGCAAAAAGTCAAAGGACGCGCAGAACCTGAAGGATGGGGAGATCTTGCTTGACCTGTCAACCCCCGAGGACGGCCCATCCTGTCAGGGTACTGCTGACATCCTCAACAAAGACCTGAAGGACCTAGGTGAGCAAGGAGTATCTCTTTGCTCTGGAGGGAGGCAGGGATAGCAATGGGGGTTGGAGTTGTTTTGGGTCTTGGGAAATGAAGATCTTGACAAAACCCGTTCATTATGGGAGTTTCCGCGTTTGTACCCAGTCCATACACATAATGCAGTTATAAAGCTTACCTGACATCACCTTTTGGCCCTATACCTTGAATTTTTAGGAAGAAAAGTTCTTGCATTGATTATTTTTATTATTATTCATGATATTATAATGATAATACTAATGACAATTATATTATTGATAGAAAGAAAACCTTTTTCTCTGTGTGTGTGTGTGTGTGTGTGTGTGTGTGTGTGTGTGTGTGTGTGTGTGTGTGTGTGTGTGTGTGTGTGTGTGTGTGTGTGTGTGGTGTGTGTGTGTGTACATATATATATATAAAATGTCTTCTATCAAAACAGCCATAAGGTCTCCCAACTCCTCCTCCTCCTCCTCCTCCATCTCAACCTCCTCCTCCTCTTCTTCTTCCTCCTTCCCAACCTCCTCCTCCTCCTCCTCATTGTCATCCTCCACCTCATCTTGTTATTTTTTCCTGCTTCTCTTTTTTTGTTGCCTCCTCTTCCTTCTTCTCCTCCTGCTTCCTTTCAGTTTAAACTAAGGATATATATATATATATATATTATATATATATATATATATATATATATATATATATATATATATATATATATATATATATATATGTATATATATATGTATATATTTATATTTTTGGTAATACGACCAAGATAACAAGTCCCTTCCATATCTTAGGTTCTGCAAGCTTGTGTCAACAACTGTGGACCCAAGTTTTCATGCAGAGATCGGCAAGTTCCGCTTCCTGAATGAGATGATTAAGCTCGTTTCGCCAAAATACCTGGGTAATCACACGCATGCTTCCGTCAAGGCGAAGGTAGTAGAGCTCCTGTTCACCTGGACCATTGACCTCAAGTCGGAGCCCAAAATCCTCGAGGCGTATAACATGCTGAAGAAGCAAGGTGTCGTTAAGGTGAGGGAAGGGGGACGTGACCTGGTGATGAGGGAGGCGGAAAGTTTTATATTTTATGCTTAGTCTTCTGATAAAATTCTCCTTTGCTCTTTTATATCTGTACATAATTGCACATGCGCATACACAGGTACGCGTGATTTGCCACAAGAAGACCATTAGGTATTCCGCAAGAAGAAGGAAAAGAAAAATAAAAAAAAAATAATAATAATAAAACATACAATAAAAAAAAACACATTTCCTTAATTTTCTTCTCCCTAGAAACCATCCCTCACCCCACTCTTCTTCCCACAGGAGGACCCCCCGTACATGGGTGCCCCAACAGCCCCCGAACCTCGTCCACGCACAAATGCCGTCTTCGAGGACGAGGAGAAGTCCCGGCTCCTGCACCGCCTGCTGCAGAGTAAGAACCCGGAGGACTTGCATAAGGCCAACGCACTCATCAAGTCCATGGTGAAGGAGGACGAGAGGAGGATGGAGAGGACGAGCAGGAGGGTGGTCGAGGTAAAGTATTTTTCATCTTTTTCTCTTTGCTTTATTTTTCTTTTTCTTTTTTTTCTATTATGATTTTCATTATTAGTATTAGGCTATTATCACTGTTGGTTGAAATATTATTGCTATTGTTATTTTTTATCGTTGTTATTATGATTATTTTTGTGATTATTATTGATGTTGTTATTGTTGGGATTATTTTTTAGATTAGTATGTTATTATTATTATTATTATTATTATTATTATTATTATTATTAATTATTTACTATTATTTATTATTATTTTTATTATTATTATAATTTTTTTTATTATTATTATTAAATTTTTTTTTATTATTATTATAATTTTTTTTTATTATTATTATTATTATCATTTTTTTTATTATTATTATTATTGTCATTGTTTATTTTTATTTATTTATTTTTTTATTATTATTATTATTAGTAGTAGTAGTAGCAGTATTATTATCATTATTTGTTTTTATGATTATTATTATTATTATTATTATTATTATTATATATATAGTTATTATTATTATTAGTAGTAGTAGTAGTAGTTGTAGTTGTAATAATAATATTATTATTATTATTGTTATCATTATCATCATCATCATTGTAATCGTTATTGTTATGTTTTTTATATTATTGATTATTTTAATTATTATCATTGTTACTGCCATTCATGCTTCTTATGATTTACCATTGAGCTTCTTTAAAAGTATGACATATAACACTGTAGTTGTATTCATTCCCTCTCTCATCTTGTTTAAGTAATTTCGCTCTTACCCCCTCCCCCTGCCATCTGTTGCAGGTGGAAACCGCCCTGAACAATGTACGGGTGCTGGACGAGATGCTATCGCGGCACCAGGAAAGCCCAGCCACACAGGCCGACCTTGACCTTATGCAAGAACTCCACTCGTCGTGTTCAACACTCAGGTCCAACATCTACCGGCTGGTTTCCGAGATGGACGACAAGGAGGAGGGGATCGGTGAGTGGCGTGGCGTGGCATGGGTGACGTGTGGCTGGGCAGTTTTTGTTTTGCGTTTTTGGGGTGGGGAGTGCACCCTGCCCTTGTTATTGTTCTTGTGCTCTTTCTTTTCTCTTTGAGCTTGCTGTTTTTTTTTTTTTTTTTTTTTTTTTTTTTCTTTTTTTTTCCCCTTTCCCTTTCTCTTTCTCTTTCTCTTTCTCTTTCTCTTCCTCTTCCTCTTCCTCTTCCTCTTCCCCCTCCTCCCCCTCCTCCCTCTCCTCCCTCTCCTTCCCTCCCTCTCCCTCCCTCTCCCTCCCTCTCCCTCCCTCTCCCTCCCTCTCCCTCCCTCTCCCTCCCTCTCCCTCCCTCTCCCTCCCTCCCTCCCTCCCTCCCTCCCTCCCTCTCTCTCTCTCTCTCTCTCTCTCTCTCTCTCTCTCTCTCTCTCTCTCTCTCTCTCTCTCTCTCTCTCTCTCTCTCTCTCTTCCTCCCTCCCTCTCTCTCTCTCTCTCTCTCTCTCTCTCTCTCTCTCTCTCTCTCTCTCTCTCTCTCTCTCTCTCTCTCTCTCTCCCTCTCTCTCTCTCTTTCTCTTTCTCTTTCTCTTTCTCTCTCTTTCTCTTTCACTCTCTTTCTCTTTCTCTCTCTTTCTCTTTCTCTTCCCCCTCCATCTCCCCCTCTCTCAGCCCTCACCCTCTCCCTCTCCATCTCTTTCTCTCTTTCTTTCTATCTATCTATCTATCTATCTATCCCCTCTCTCTTCCTTATCCTTCTTTCTCCTTCTGTCCCTCATCCCTTTTCTCTCTCTTTTTTTTCTTCTCTCAACCTCAATTTGAGATTAAGATAAAGTTTACCCACTGGAAGCTACCAATTTCTATTCTAATGTTTAAACTGCTTTTTGCAGGCGATCTACTGAAAGCAAACGATGAGCTGTCACGGGTGATGGGCAGATATAAGTTGGTAGTCGAAGGCACGAAGATGGAAACCGCAGCCCCCCCTATGCCTGGTGGCAAAAAGTCAAAGGACGCGCAGAACCTGAAGGATGGGGAGATCTTGCTTGACCTGTCAACCCCCGAGGACGGCCCATCCTGTCAGGGTACTGCTGACATCCTCAACAAAGACCTGAAGGACCTAGGTGAGCAAGGAGTATCTCTTTGCTCTGGAGGGAGGCAGGGATAGCAATGGGGGTTGGAGTTGTTTTGGGTCTTGGGAAATGAAGATCTTGACAAAACCCGTTCATTATGGGAGTTTCCGCGTTTGTACCCAGTCCATACACATAATGCAGTTATAAAGCTTACCTGACATCACCTTTTGGCCCTATACCTTGAATTTTTAGGAAGAAAAGTTCTTGCATTGATTATTTTTATTATTATTCATGATATTATAATGATAATACTAATGACAATTATATTATTGATAGAAAGAAAACCTTTTTCTGTGTGTGTGTGTGTGTGTGTGTGTGTGTGTGTGTGTGTGTGTGTGTGTGTGTGTGTGTGTGTGTGTGTGTGTGTGTGTGTGTGTGTGTGTGAGAGAGAGAGAAAGTGTAATAAATGTGTCTGATTGTTTTGAATATTGTAGGAAGTTAAGTTTTCTTTAGTACATGTGTTGTGCCATATAAGTGTTGCCAGGCATTTTTTTTTCCCTTGTACCTACTCTCATCATGTAATATGATGATGCTAAAAATTTGAAGGAAAGACTGAGACTATATCATTATCCCTCAGGCTTAGATGGCCTTAGCCTGGGCACAGGAGCCCCTGCAGTACCAGCTGTAGCCCCCACAACTCCCCCCATCACAGCTGGCAAGGAGAGCAGCAGCGCCTCTCTCCTGGAAGACCTCGGAGGCATCTTTTCCAACGCTCCAAATTCCAGTACAGGCGTACCTGTTGGCCCTGGCAGCCTTCACACAGCAATGGCACCAACGCTAGTCCCACAGCCCATGACAGGAATTCTTGGTGCAGGTATTCTGTGCTTCTGTTTACTATGGGCATTTGTTTTATTGCAGACCTTCATTGATTGTATTCGTTTATAAACCCTGTAAACCCTGTTTGTTATATGTTAATGTTGAGCACACTTGCACACTTATCAGGCGACAGTTTGACTTTCATACCTTCAGTGTGAATTTTTTGCTGCTGATTTCCCTCTAGCATTTACCCCAGAGAGAGTCAAACACTGTGAGGCATACCTTGATTTTCTCATGACTGTTATTAGTGATAGACACACCATGAGCTGTAACTGACTTTTTGATATGCCATAATTTCACACCTCAATTACTTGGCTGTGAAATTGATAAAGCTATAGATTATTTTGTATCTAAAGCATTGAACACTTCTCCCTCCCCCCCCCCGCAAAGAAAGGGATGTTTAAATACTTTTACAGTGTGCCTGATATTGCCTACCAATTTGATATCAAGCATACACATTTGTCACTCCTGTCTACCATTTCAGTGCAAAGGCCCACTTATTCTTAGAGGATTAAGCAGTTATGTGACTATGGCAAATTTTGATAGATATTTCCTCATATGGTATAACTTCTTGAAGCAACTATATATAAGTGTAATGTAATGTATAG